GAGGCGGGGTTCACCCTGGACAGGTCGCCAGTCCATTGCAGGCTAACATAGAGACAAACAGGACAAACAACCATTCACGCACACGCTCTCACACCTAAGGACAATTTAGAGAAGCCAATTAACCTAACAGTCATGTTTTTGGACTGTGGGAGGAAGCCAGAGTACCCGGAGAGAACCCACGCATGTTCAGGGAGAACATGAACTCCATGCAGAAAGACCACGGGCCGGGAATCCCAGAACCTTCTGGCTGCAAGGCAGCAGTGCTACCCACTGCGCCACTGAGCAGCCTATGGGTAAACTAATCTGGGTAAAATTTTGTTTTTATATTTATTTCTGTATAAGATGTCTTCATTGCTCCATATGTGTTATTCATGTAGGGAAAGATTATGCTTGTAAATCAATGACCAGGAGAGAAGATTCTGTTTATAAAAGTTAGAATGTTTTTGGAGGTGTTTCCAGTATTGCAATTGCAAAATAAGTAAAAACTCAGGACTCCAAATTAAGAGCTTATAAAAATGAGTATGAAGTTTCTTTTTTTATTATTATTGTTTAAGCCAATCTTTTATTATTATTATTATTATTATTATTATTATTGAGAATAAAATTGTAAAATGTTTTGCTGCCTTTATTGCATGACTTCATTATTACAGTTTTTTAAATATAATTATTCCTCCATAAATAAATTGAATAGCATCTTTTCAGTATCTTTTGAGACCTTGGTTTATATTATTTCATTTTTTTCAATGATCAAGTTAAAATTTAAATAGCAACTGGCTCCTCCATCTTTATTAATGATAATTCCTAAATGATTAGTTTTTTGCAGCTACATTACAGCTGGAAGAAAAGGCGCAACATTTAAAAGCAATTAATCAGCATTTCTTTCTATTTAAACAGAGTGAAGATGCAGCAGATTTGTCAGGTTGATAGCTAGAGGTATTTGTGTAATAACATCGTTTTCTTGTGAAAGAGTAACATTTATTGATTCTGTTAGCAGCTGGCTGCATGGTAAAAAAAAAAAAAAAGATAAAGTGTTATAGGACATCCTTGCACAACCCCAAGTTTAAGCTATATGTATGTAGGTGAAGTTTTAGCCTGCAATTTAATTGAAGAATAACCTTTTGAGTGCATATTTTTAATAGCACTGCTAAAATGTACACAAAAGCCTAACATTTTTGTAAGGTATGGAATATGAGTTTATCTTTAATGATCCCATATGTTTATAATATGTAATAAAGATAATAATAATAAAACAGGATAAAACCTTCATCAGAGCAGTTTAAGTTAAGTACTAATCTGATTTATTTATTTATTTTTTTTTAGATAGGTCTTTTTCTCAGGTAGACAAACTAAGTCTCTTCATCTAGACAGTTTATGAAAGTTTTTTAGTCTTTTAACAAATATCAGAGGCTAAATAGCTACTCTGTTATCATGTAGCCTAAGCTATTATGTCATTTTGATTTAAATAACTAGATTATCCAGTATTAATTTTAACATGAAGTTTATTTTACATTCCAGGAATGTACACATTTTTAAAAAAAATCATAAAGTAGTAATGAACTGTAAATGCTCTTCTAATGGTTTTCTCACATTTTATAAACAAGTAAAGTGATTTTGAGCATTTTGACAAATTTGCTGTTTTATAAATGACTAAAATACATATAATTAGGCCTATTTGTTAAATAGTTATAAAGGGTTAATTAAATTTAACCTGACTCAATTTAAATACATTTGTGTGTAGTGTTCTCTTTTCTTTTACTCATTTTGTAGTCTTTTTTGTAAATATTTATTCGGCTCTAAATAATAATTTGATACAACAGTTAGAAAGGGAATTTGATGAAAAGGGTGTCCGCCCAGATGCCTGTTCAAAACAGTAACATTACGTCAGCAGGTCCTTTGGATTCTCTTTTTTTTTTCTGGTTGGTTGCAATTTTTATGGGCTTATCACTTAGCGGAATCTTCTCATTCAGTTTGGTAGAAATGCAGGGTTAGCTGTTGCGCCTTGTTTAATTTTAAAGATGGCAGAAAGCGTGAATGTAGTGGATTGTGATCTTCGGCGCGGCTCTGAAATTCTGCATTTAGAGGACGAGGAGCCACTGAAAGAGCTCGATGAGAAAACTGCTGGTAAGAAGAGACTGCAATGGCTAGCTGCAGCCCTGTGGCTCAGGATAATGACCTCCCTTGTTTCTATTCATTTAGATCGGGTTATTTCCCAAAGTTGTTCTTTAAGCGTTTGGTCTAGTTTGGGATTAGCCAATAGCAGGCAGCGGAGAGAAAAAACAGGAAACGGTTGGGAGGACAGGAATACTAAAAATCCCATTTCCTTTGGTCAAGGTTTGATTAAATCGTTCAAACCTAGATTAGATCCCAGCTCTTGGTGATTAATTTGGACCAATCAGTTCTTTTTATTGGTACTGTTTCATGAAGAACAAATTAGCTTTTTTATCTCAAATTTTTTTAAATCTCTAATCTAAACAATCATCAAGTCAATCTCAGACATTGTTAGACTGTTTTTTTTTTTTTTTTGCCAAAGCAACTGTTATTAACCTGAGAGACATAATTACACTGGAAAATAATCGAAATCTAAAGAAATAATATTTTCTTAAAATAAGTGCATTTCTTCTTTGATTCAGGAGGTAAAATAAAACATTTTCCAATAGAACAAGACAATTTACACTTAATATATGAAAACACAATTGCATTGTCTTATTTCAAGTGCATATTATCTAAATGTCATATTCTAAGAGTAAAAATACTAATCCCATTGCCAAATTATTTTTAATTACCTACTCAAATTACCCTTCATTTCAAAAAATGTTAGTGTAGATATGATTTTATATCAAGATTAGCTGGTGGGGGTTAGAAAAAAAATGATTATTTCTAAAAATATTTCAATAAAAGCTTTAGAAAGCTGTTACCCCAAAATAAAAAAAATAAATAAATAAATTGGTTGGTTTGTTGTTTTATTCCATATTTCAGCCATAATAGGGGAGTCATATTTACTGTAGAATATACAGTAAACTCCTATATAAAATATTGCTTAATTAAGTTTGCATTCAGCAAATTTAGCTATTTTTAAGGTTCTGCCAATTAAGAACATGACGGAGCTGATGCTGATTTATCTTTAACAGATCTTGAATTTTTTTCCACAGTTGCCAGAAAAAAGAAGAACGTCACTAACTTTGCGATATCCTGAACATTATGATCTGATAAATTAATGGGTTTTTATCCTACTGCTTTCTGATAATTTGCATGTATTCCTGCCAGAGATGTCCTGTTTTTCTCTCTCCCAAATCAGACGAAGCCCATTGCTTTAGTGTTGTCTTTGTGTGGGGGTTCTGTTGCAGCAGATGGCCCGTTCCCGTGGAGCCCGGCTCTGCTGGACGTCTTGCTGGTAGCTGGGAGTGGTTCCTTTTCACTGCTGCCACATGCTTGCCCAGGATGAGAAAATGCTGCAGTCAATGCCTCCATGCAGTTTGCTCGTCTCTCTTGGCGACTCTTTAAAAGTTGTCTGCCTTAAAAAGCCCAGCAGATTGCATCAAGTCATTGGCTTTGAAATAACTGCTTATTGTGTAGCAACGTTGAAGAGGAATTTTTTTAAGTGTGAGCGGCCAACTCCTCCTAGTTCTATGGGGAAAATGCAACCCTTTTTGGTGGCTATGGTTGAATTTTTCATGGAGGTCATAAGGTTATTATGCTTTCAGAACATGCACGCCATGCATCCATATTCAGTTGGCCTGTAGTTTTCACATAGCATAACACGTTTTCTCTATTCTCCATAAAATCTGGCTCTAACCTCCTGGAGGTCGTCTCAACGTTGACTACAAAGCAGCCAAGTTGTATTGGAGTATTTTTTATAAATATGGTAAAATAATTAACATTAACAGGCTTCTGTTAGGGCATACCAAGTAGTTTTTCTGAGGATCTTATATCGATATATCTCAATTATATTTTATCGACCACAATTAGGAAATAAATCATGATATATGCTTAGGACATGTTGTCCAGCCCTACATAAACAGATGCTGGACTGTCTTAGAAATGTTCTTTTGCTTTCTCTACATCATAGGAGTGAATTGAAGTGCAGTTCCTTTCAAGAGAAAAAGCTCTAGAAAACAAAAAGAGAGAAATTCTGCAGGGAAGATGTTTGACCTGTCATTTTGTCATTTTTGGGTAATTTGGAGAAAAAAATCTCCAAATTAAAAAAAAAATCAGTTTGACTCTTTAAAAATTCAGACTATTCAACCTTATTTTGCCTCACATCACAGAACTGTATTGGATTTGGACTGGGCGATTAAAAAAATAAATTCATATATCGATATAAATCGCAATACATAATATATATCATGATATGTTTAAATGAACTTTAAAGACAATAGAGTGCATAAAACTGGTATACTCATTTAAACCTTTGGTTTAAAATTTAAAACATTTTATTATAACCAGCTCAAAGCTTTTCACAAATAATACTGCCACATTATGTCATTCAGTGCCAGTATTAGACCTTAAACGATCCCAGCAACTAAACAGGGAACAAACAAAAAACCTGCAATACTAAGTAAAATGTAAAAAAAAAAAAGCTCTTATGTGCATAATAAAAAAGTAAATGCCAAATAAGAGAAGAAATTGACCTCAAATTACAAAAGAAATGTTGAAATACTATCCAAAAATTACAGCATTATTAAATTAGAGCATCTCAAAACTATTTGCATTGATCTTTACATGCTGCAAATTTTAAAGAAGCACAAAAATTGTAAAATTAAGAACATTGCCAAGTTTAGAAAACACCTGCAAAGACCACAACACATCACAGGTAATAGAGCATCTCAAAAATGTAAATGGTGTAATAAATAGCATCTGATTTCCCTCCATCTCTTCCTTTTTCTCTCATATGGCATTGCTTTTTCAAACGATGAGGCCAACGTCATCGGCTTCACTGCTGATTTATTTAACGTTTAAATTGGTGTGCTGGGAGACACTGACATGTTTACAACATTCTTCATTTTGCAGAGGATAGCTTTTTATGACTTTTGCAGCATGTCTTAAAAATTACCGCCTTTTGTTCGATGTCCGCACCCTGAAATCCAAACGACAGCCATATATTGTTTAGCTGAAACACCTGCTGTCGCTATATTTCATTTACTGGTTGCTGTAGTGTAACCTTGCGCTACAAGCTGGATTGTTGCAAGATCTAAGTTTTCAGTCTCACAAAAATCCATCTTGAAGGATTCCCGCTAATACGTCTGTCTTATAACAACCAGGGAGTCGGATCAATGACGTGCCAGCACTGTTTTTTAGGGTGGGACATGTAGGAAAGATGAGTCAGAAGGTTTTTATTGGGGCATAACAAACATGGCTACACTGGTGGATTTGCCTGTCGATACCGCAATCGACTCGGTTTTAGCTAAAATTGCGTCAATTTCTCTTTTAAAAATTTGCAAAGAGAAAGAGTTAGTGCATTTGTAGATGTAAAAGCTGTCCGTGCTTTTTTTCCGACAGGATTTGGAAAAAGTTTGATTTATCAGCTTACCACGCTAGTTTTGAAAACACCCAAGAAGCTGCAAACGAATTATATTGTGATGATCGTGTCTCCATTGATGGTTCCCATGGACGACCAAGTTGGCTGAAAGCGTATTATGAAAGCCGAGTACTAGCTGGCACGTCACCCATTCAGCTCAAAGTATTGTACTAAACATCCTTCCTTTTCACGGACAGACTGAACGGCAGCCATCCCAGATCGATAACGTAGAACTCAACTCAGTTCTACACACATCAATCTGGCTACTGCTAGGTTGGCTGTAGTGTGCGAGCTGCGCAGAAAATAATCCTGTTTGCAGAAGGGGTTTATGATGCATTCATAGTGTGTGGGAAAAATAATACTCAATGAAATAGATTCAGACAGCTTAATGTCATGCATATTTGAGTCAAATTTGAGTCTTTTTAACTATTGCGTGTGGGGAAACTTGAGATACATCAACTATATTCAATATATTGCCCACCCCAAATTGAAATCGTTCCAAAATCTCATTTACACTTTAATTTCTTTGTCAAAAAGGATCTTTGACTTGGGTAAAGAAGCCTTGATTGCATCAGGACCTTTCAGATAATTACAAGAGAACACAGGTGGATCATGGAGGCTGCAAACAGCCCTGAGGCGTGGGTATTATGGATAGAAAAAACAAGCAAAAATATTGTTGAACATGAAGATTATCTAGGAAGTGTAATAGATAAAGTTTACGAATGTTAATTTGTTAAAATATAAATTTATTTCACTCTATAAACTGAACTTAACCTAGAATCTGTGGAGTTAAAAAAAACAAAAAACAATTTGACACAAAAAAAGAGAGCATGGCTGACTAAACAAAATAATACCCTATATTTATGTGTACAATTCCTTTGGTCTCATTATTAACATCTAACTGAATAATCTTCATCCAAAAATATAAAGATAATCTGTATGTGTATTATACCAGGGTATGTTTGTTTATTTATTTAATTATCTCTAAATCATTTTACATTAAAAGCACTTGGAACTCATAATTGAGTTGTAATTGTATTATTAATCAAACTAATGTTTAACATTTAGTCTAATTAGAAATAAATGAAAGATTGAAAAAAAAAAACTAACAAATTCAAGTGCAAAGGGAAACTGAGGGAACAAAAAGTTCAGAACCAGAGATCCTGATATAGGAAAATAAACAGCCAAGTCATCAGTCAGACAAAATGAAAATAAATGGCTCTATTCTTTTTATTCTGCTTTTTTTCTTTAGAGACAAAAATCTAACAACCTCTTCTTGAAGATAAATTTCTTCTGAATGAAATATTTTTTATGAATGTTTTCAAACAAGCTAAAGAGCAAAATGGGACTAAATTCAGATTTAAACACAAGAATCTGTTCTAAAAGCCTGGATGTCTTTAGATTCTAGGATCGGTGTGTTGGAATAAGAGGAAAATGTGGCTAAAGATAAATGATGAGAAAGGAACTCTAATGGACGATTTTCATTTCTACAGATGATCAGCAGGTGTTGGTGATTAAAGAGGAGAGTCTCTTTGAGAGGAGCTCCAGTGACGAAGAGCAGGACCCAGAGATCTTCCTCATAAAGAAGGAAAAGGAGGAACTCTGGACCAATCAGGAGGGAGAGCAGCTTAACACAGAGGAGGATTGCGACAGCTTCCCCTTGAATATTATTGTGAAAAGTGAAGATGAAGATGAAGAAGAAGAAGAAGAATATCAGTCTTCACATATTTATCGTGGGCAAACTGAACCAGTCAAAGAGACAAGCTGCAAATCAGTTCAGTTTATAAAAACAGAACCTGACGATGAGGACGGTTTCGGAGCAGAATCCACAAGAAAGCTGCGTATAAAAAGTTTCCTTCATATTAAAACTGCTGGAAAAGCTTCCGACTCCTCTGAGACTGAAGTCAGTGATGAAGATGATCAGTGGCAGGAACCACTGCCAGATTTTAGAGCAGAAGTTGATTCAAATAAGAGCAGAAAACCTGGGTCAGGCGACCCGGCCAAGGCTCTGTACAGCTGCTTCGAGTGCGATAAGCGGTATTTCTACAAACAATCCCTCCATAGACACATGAAGTGTCATTCCTCTAGTTCTGGTAACGCAAGCCGCCCCAGCGAGCAGGAAACCACAGATTCAGACGCAGCAGTGGCGAAGAAAGAGAAAGTGTTCATTTGTGACGTCTGCGGGCATGGATTCAATCAGAGGACAAACCTCACCACGCACAAGAGAGTGCACACAGGGGAGAAACCGTTCAAGTGTGACGTCTGTGGGAAAAGGTTCAACCAGAGAGGGAATCTGCGCAACCACAGGCGAATCCACACTGGGGAGAGGCCATTCATATGCGACTTCTGTGGCGAGAGATTCAGGAATCAAGGGATTCTGCAGGCGCACATGAGGGTCCACACTGGAGAAAAGCCTTTTGTCTGCGGCGTCTGCGGAAGGAAATTTTCCCGCAAGACTCATTTTGAGACGCACATGAGAGTCCACACTGGAGAAAGGCCGTTTAGCTGCGGTATCTGTGGCAAAGATTTTCGCCATAAGCTGCATTACCAGGAGCACACCAGGGTTCACACAGGGGAGCTGCCGTTTCCTTGCGAGGTCTGTGGGAAGAAATTTCGGCTTCAGTGTAATTTAAAAAGACACCTCCGAGTTCACACAGGAGAGAAGCCCTTTAGCTGCGACGAATGCGGAAAGACGTTCAGCTGCAAATCTCATCTGAAGCGACACATAAAGGTCCACACTGGAGACCGGCCGTTCTCCTGCGAGATTTGTGGAGATACATTTGCAGAACCAGGAGCCGTGAGGAGCCACATGCTGGTCCACACAGGGGAGAAGCCGTATGAGTGCGACGTCTGTGGGAAAACCTTCAGGCAAAAGAGCACGTTAACAAGACACAAAGTGGTTCACACAGGAGAGAAACCGTACTCCTGTGCTCTGTGTGGCGCAAGATTCACACAGCAGTGTAATTTGAAGACCCACATGAGACTCCACACGAGATGACTTTCTTTAATCTTTAATATGCTTATAAATAGAGATTCCTGCACTGTTCGTGTATGTTTGCAGTGATGATACCCTGAGTAATCACATGATGTTTCCAGAATAGAATAATCACATCTGGAAATGTTATTCTACTTTATTTCTATTGTCTGTAATTTGACTGGGACATGATTTTCATGCTTGCCAACTCTCCCAATTTACGTGGGAGACTCGTGATTTTTAATGTTATGTCTCGCTGAGGTTCCAATTAGTAGTTTCTGCAAATGTCCCAATTTTTGAGTGTAAGAAAAGCGTATTTGTGGACGCGGGGTACACATGGGACATGTCCCCCGCACAGTTTTTCAGTCTGTACAACAGTTAAACTATTGTTAATAAGCATTAACTTCTTTTTCGGAGCTGTCTTTGAACGCACCGTGAGCATACACAGGAAGTTCGACACAGAAGTGATTCTGAGTAGTGCTGAAAGTCAGCATCAGAATGTTTATCAAACCCACAGCAAGAAAAAAACACTTTGAAAAGTTTCTTTTCAAACAAACTGTGTACGTACTTTATTTAACTTTGTCTGCAAATTAGACTAGTTAAATGCTAAGGTATTAATATGTTAAGCTAGTTCACATTAATTTCAAAGGTCGCTACCTCTGTGACATTACTTGGTGTTTTATATTTTTTGGAATAAACCCAATCGTCTTTCTTTTCTGGGCAGACTTTGTGCTCACAATTGCTTTCCACATATTTAAAATATGTATTTTGGTCACAGTAGTGAGAGGAGAGTTAAGAGATTAAAACAAAAAATCTATGGCATAGAAGTGACTTTGAGATAAATTGCCAAAGCAATTTTTTTTTTTTACCATTTCTCTTTGTAATTCTCTAAGTTTGGTTTCCACATTTGAATTCTGTATTTCCATACAAGAAAGAGCAAAGTCAGGAAAGAGATGGACCGGATGCCAGCTGCAGGAAGAAGGATGTAGGGTCTATAAGGAGAGAACTTCCTGACAAAATCTGTTGCAGGGATAAACCAGGCGGGCATTTGGAAAAGTTGAACAATAAAAAAATTGAAGGCAACAAGAAACTGTTATCAAATTAAACAGTTTGTGAAGTTTTTTTTTATTGCATGCATATGAGGCTCAGTAGCTGTGGCCAATTTTCTTCATGGAAACAGTTAATGAATCCTTTAGATGGTGGCAATCAGTGATGCTGACTTTTTAATTTGATCTGCCATAATGCATACCAAATGCATTGCAGTGTTACTGCTTTATTTTTTAGCCTTATTGTTGTCATTTAAACAATTATTTTCCTTTAAAAGCCATTATTGAATGTCAAAGATACATTTTCAAAATAAGGTTTCTTCACAAGGTTTAAGATACGAGGCACAAAATGACAATGATCCTGTGGGCTGATACACCGATGGAATAAAAAGCTCAGTTTTTCACTGTTGGCAAGTATGGATTTTCCAAAATATTGATAAACTCACAAATAATCAGCTGATTGATTTATATAACTCATCTGAATGCAGTTATAGAAAGTAGTCATTTAGAAAAGACCTCAGAGTGATGTGAAAAAAATGTAACTGCTTATAAACTTAATGCTTTGGTAACAGTTTACCTTTCACACATTTATTTCTACTGCAGATGTTTTAATGTGAATAGTTTTGTGTCGGTGTAGCTGTGTGGTGTCTTTATTATAGGTGGCTTTGTTTTTTGTAGGTTTTGATTTATAAAGAGTGAAAGCAGAGATTTTCAACATGTCACTACGCCTTAGTGACACTGCCAGATTTGGGGGTCTTATGGGTGGGGTCTGTAGAGGGAAGATGATATTATCCCTACCGATATTGGCATGGCAACGGGATTCTTGCTTGTCTGTCTCCAACCTTTTGGGGGTCCCTGGCAGAAAGACTTTGAAGGCTGCTGTATTTAAGGTTTGGGTTTTTATTTTGTTACTTTAATAAAGGTTTAAAATACCGAAGGGAGAAAAAAAATCATTTTTTCAGCCATTTGTTCAAGCTAAAATCATAGTTTCAGTGAAGCTGGTTTGTCTTTAAATATTTGGAACAAACTGGGACTGTATGATAGGCTGGTCCTGACATAGATGTTTATAAATCCTAGGTTTGAGCTATAAATGGCTAAAATAAACACAACTGCATGGAAAGTGAGTTGAAAAACAAACGGAAGGAAAAAAAAGAAAAAAAACCCAGGAAGTTCTGTGATTCATCAATTAAAACCAACAGATTTATTTGCCTGTGCCAAAAGTAATCATTATCCCTGAAAATGAAGACAAGATCACCATTTTATCTCTAACATTAAGCATTTTTTAGTAACAAAGGGAAATTTCTTTTGAGCTGTCAGCTCCATTTATCCTGCAGTGTCTGTGTGAGCTGCTGTCATACAAAGAGAAATATTCAGTAAAACTGCAGGCGGTGGATCCCTGCAGGCGTCAGGGGTGAGGCTGCCCTGTTGGCCGGATTCACTGAAAAGAGTATTATTTATTTTTTCACGCATGCCTTAAATTTACATTTTTAAAAAAGAAGCATCTGGGATTATTGCAGATTCTGATCAAGATTGAAATATATCCATCTGCCTTTTGTAGACTAATTTTGTAGGAGGGATGTTTAGTGTGTTGCTTTCTGCAGCTCCTCACATAGCTTTACCATCTGTGCAGGCAGAGAACTCACTGCTAAAACATCTCTGGTTACGTTTCACTGGTCTTTTCATCCTGCCGTCTTTAGGTTCTCTATTCATGCATGGTTTAGTGTCAGTAGTTTTTTCATTTAGTTAAAAACTACAAATCCGATTATTTGAGGGCACCTTTTTAGTCAGCACCCTTAAATCCAGTGCAACCAAATGTCTTCAGAAAGAAAAGCAATGAGCAAATGGTTCAGATAGAAAGCAAAAAAATATACAGCAAAGACTGAAAACGTCTCTGTTCTGCTGAAGATGTGTTCTGTTGGAAAAATGGGGGAAGTTTAGGAGATAGACCCATCCCCCCCACATTCATTCCACCGGACATTCACAGTAGGATGTTTTCTTCTTGGCATAATGGGAGCTGCAATTGAAAACGACTTCGAAAGAAGGCCATCTGTCTGGAGTGAGAGACTGAAACCAGCCTCTACTGCAGAAACCACCATTAAGCCAGTCCTCACTGTTTTTCTATAGGTCACTTATACACTATGAAATACGGGAGCAATGTTGGCTTGGATTTTTTAAAATAAAGCCGACAAGTTTAACAATTTTAACTAGAATTATAATTTATTATAATTATGAATTATGAAAATAGTCTCCTGTAAATATGGATTTATAAGAATAATTTTAATGTTTTTGCTTTTTTTATTTAGTGTAGTGTTAGTGTTTTACACTGTTATTTTGTGCCCTTCATTTCAAAAAGCCTATTTTACACAAGTTTCACTGGTTGTTAAACTTTGTGTCCCGTTTCTGATTTCACTTCAAGGTGACAGTAGAACACTTATAGATGTTTCTCACCAAATATATTTCAAAATTAAAGCCTATCAAAATCTGTACAATTAGTCACTTATGTTTCTGTGAATATTGCAAAGAAGTACATATTTCTAGTTATTAATTTCACTTCAGGGTGACAGTGGGGCACAGTAGAGTATTTTTCCTCTTAAAAAAAAGGATGTAGAGACAGTAGAGGGGAACATCTCCCTGTAAACAGGAAGAAACAAGTGGCAGAGACCCCGACTCAATACATGCATTTCTGCAGCATTCTTGCTGGTGGTACGAATGAGTAGTATGCACAGCTCTCCAGATTGGTCTTTTCCTTCCTATGAACCCCTGATCCATACTTTGGGTAAGTCTACATTTAAGCAGACCTTAATGAAGTGAGACCTACAATTCACTTTTAACATTTAAATAAAAAAAATTGTAAATATGGCAAAGATTTATCTCCGGTGCCTCGCAATATTTTATTGATTCCCTTCAACTCATCAACCTTTCACTAACAGATTCATAATCTGAGCTTTAGAGCATCAACAGGGGACTAAAAACTTTACAAAACTAACTAGAGCTGTGGGACTTACCTCGGTTCAAAGAGCATACATGCTGAAGATGTAGGTCAGGGAGAGTAAAAATCTATGGTGCTGTGGGCCACAAGAAGCATGAAAATGTTTATAAAGTTTACCCATTTACCTTTACACTGTAACAAAGTTTCCCACAGATGGTACAATATACAGATTTCATCCACCTTAATGAATAGGACCCCAATGATCTCTGATTAGTGACACACTGATCTACCAAATGTGGAGCTCTTGCATTAAGATTCTTAATTGGTTAATATAGTCTGCATACAATTTAATTAGAATCTTTTTATAGTTGGAGTAATTAATCAGAAAATGTCTTGAGATGACATAAAATAAAGATATAGGAATAAGTTAAATTGAAATAAATGAATTGGTAGAAAGTGGTACAGAGCTGAATAATTGTACCAACCTGTTAGCCCCACTGAGAGGCAGCAGAGAGGAGGATTAAATATATGATTGAGTGAAGCATTGAGAGACGCTCATGAAGCTGGATCAAGCACAGTCATTGTTCTTAAAGATAATGCAGTTAAACTTTTCATACAAAGATATTTAAAATGTTTACCTGATAAAGGTTCATTTTAATTCATTACTTCACAGTAGAACCAAGTCATTCCCCTTAATCAAAACAACTTTCCTCACATTTCTTTAGTTGCCAGTTACCATCTGCAAACATTTGTTTCACAATCCAAAACTGAACAAGGATCCGCTTTAAATTCTGTGCTGGAAAGATTCCTCAGTATGTCAGATGAGACAATATTCCCACTTATGGGACGGGTGGTGCTTCGATACTGGGTTCAAATTACTTACTCTGTGTCAACTGCTGTAAACAAAAACATGTTAGCTGAATCCCCTGCTAAGCTTTCACATTTAAGTCATATATACAGAGATGCAGCTCCAAAAGGTTTGTGTAAAAGCCCCAAATGGCCTTGTCTCTCAGTCAGCATGAGGTTGCAATTACAGAGTTGTAAAGTCTGACTCATGGCCTCAGACCCTCCCCGACCACAAGGCACCAAACACATCTGGCTTCATGTCCTCCTCCCTGCCTCACAGCAGGAAAGATGAAACCTGATGCACCAGTGGAGAGGCCCTGGAGATCATGGCTCAATAAAAAGCCTCATTTATCTACAGCCTCAACACTCCACTGACCACAAAACTGAAACCAATGCACTCTTCTCATCTTTTGTTGAAAAGATCTTCAAACTGACTTCTTGTGCCATGGGAGTATTAATCTCTGTAATGTAGATTAGAGGAATGAGACTTATCTTAATCAGGGGTACTTCACAGGTGCATTTTACATCTGGGGACAAACTCCAGGATTCACCCAAATTTGAAGAAAAACAGTCAGCTTGCTTGCTTTTATTTTTATTGACAACTTAAATAGTTTACAGTTTTCCATCCATATACAGTAAGAAAAACGCCACCTATGAAATAGGGAAAAATATACAAGATTCATCAAAACAGTCATAACCCACAACCATTTACTTTTTGATTTTAATGTACGATTAAAATAAATTGCACTGAAAAGGTCCCTTTATGCTTCTACACCATGTAGAAAAGTAAATGGTTTAGAAAACTAGTTTGTTTGAAGAAAAACTCCCTGATACACCTTCCAGTCTAACAGTTTGACTGAAAAATTAAGCCATTTGTAATTTAGGATGACTCATCCGTTTGGACGTTTTACCCTTGACAGATGTCAAACAGAGTATACATGTAAACAATTCCCATTAGATGAATCAGTTCTTGCCGCTTTAGAAAAATGTCTAAAAGTCAATAGCTGGGTTTTCAGGATGTAGAAACGTCCAAAGATTGCCTCAAGAAAACAAAATGCTGGTTCACATTAAAGGCACAGAAAGTTGCAAAGTGGCATCTTAGAAAAATAGGTTTAAAAATCAAGTCAAATATATAAATCCATTTCAATTTACATGGTTAGAGTAAGATTTACAGTCACAGTTAGAGGTCTTCCACAAAAAGTCTAACAGGAAAAAAAAAAAAAAACCCTCCTCATTCATGTTAACACACCATATAAAACTTAATGGTTTTATAGAAGTTTTTGGTGATTTATTGCTCCAAAAGTGGATCATCAGACAGCTTGATGGTCTTTGTACCTGTAGGCTGAGGAAAAACTGCTGCTTTCCATGTACTCCTGTTTTTTTTGTTTTTTTTCCAAATACCTGGAAATAAATATTTCCAATAACCAAAACTACACAATTAGGCTTCAAAGAATTGCATCCATTACTGTCGCACATGATTGCTGCATTTCAAGGAATGTTACATGCTTTCCCCCAAACGTTTCAGAAACTTCAACAAGTTTTGTGCTGGATCAAAGTCCTCTCTTTGGCTATAAACTGATCTTTGGAATCGTGGAAAAGGACCTCAGGTTCCCTTAATGAAAATAGCGCAGTCAGTTCAAGTGCTCAGAGGTCAATATCTTGGAAATAAAAACTGTTATTCTTGGATTAGTTTTAATTTTGGCCTCTCATCATTGGAAATCCCTACTAAAGACACTCGTATTTGATCCAACTGACTACAAATCCCCATATTCTTAAAGTAATTTGTTTCTGCAATGCTTAAAATAATTAACATTGCATTGGTAAATTGTTCATTAATATCTAATGATATGTTTTTTGGATAAGTCATTGCGCAAAAGTGTTATTCATGGGCTTCTCTCAAATAAACTTAAATTAAACCATAACCTGCCACCGAAAATAACAGAATATGCCAAACGAACACTCGGCAAGGAGAACTAAAGCTGAACCAAGCACTTTTATCCCAAGCAGTTTGTAGAAAGAAAACAATGCAATCTGAGTTTTCTGGTAATATTAGCACGCTATTCATTTATTTTTTAAGCATTGCACTCAGAGGTTTTTAGACTTTGATGAAACCATGAAGTTAAAAAAGCAGGATGAAACTTCCTAAGAGGCACCTCATTAGCTAAGGCGCTGGCAAAGCTGTTAGCAATACAAGGCGATAACATCTTAAGTGGTTTTTTTATGCTAAAACGCATAATTAGAGTTGCGATGACAAGTCAGACGGTGATGTAGCTAACTTGATTCTTGACTGGAAGCTCAAAAGCTGAGAGTCGTAAACTCTATGCTAAGCCCTGCTGGGTTACCAAAAAGTACAAGAAAATGCTAATGCTTTGCAGCAGGACTCAGGATTTATTTGTATCGGTTATCTTTTTGTTTTATATCGAGTTAGATGAAGAGCAAATGTGAGAAACTATTTATGCAGCTTTCTTTTAGATTTAAAGACCGGGCAACAGATCATGCAGGATGCACAAGAGAGCAACGTTTTAAGTAGATAACAGGAAGGCTAAACGGAATGGAGCTAAATACCTTCCAAGACAGTTTAAAAATGTAAACATCAAAAAGGTTTGCTATTACTGAGCTCATTTACAGTGCAATATCGATTTGGCTTATGGAAATCATTATTTATAGGAAGGCTAAAGCCGTTGTCCAGATTCGCAACTGGCTGAGAAATAACAGAAGCTCAATCCTTTAAAAAAATTGGAAATCAGTCTTAAAACTGAAATAGAATATGTCTCACTATAATTATTTTTGTGTAATAATTTGAAATATTAATCTTTTTAGTACTTGAATAATCAATACTTTTGGATGCTGAATTCTGAGGTCAGTAAGGTATAAGCAGCAGTTCAAGGAGTTTAAGCTTCAGGAGCTTTTCCAGTGGATTTTTCTAAAGACTCAGAAATCCAAAGGCGGCCATCATTATCATCATTATCATTAATATTATTAATATCATCATTATTATTATTATATATTTTTAAAGTAGACAAAATGTTGTAGCATCCTTTCCTGGAGTGTTTTTAGAAGAAGAAAAAAAAAAAAAAAAAGCCCAACATGATTTAGAAAAAGTCTAGCAAATGAGGGGGAACTCATCCTCTTCCAGGAACAACTAAACCAGCTGTTGCTTGGAAGGAAAAAAAAAAAAAACATTTCTTCATCGAAACAAAACTTTATATTTTGTCCGTCTCTCCAGGAGCCATGAAATTACTTCAGTGGTTTTTCCTGCCGCATGTACAACTTTATGAGACCCTCCTTGTGTAGCCGCTGCCACACATTCATCTCCATACGCATGTCATGGTTGACGAAGAAGCCCACCTTGTGATATGTTTTATCATAGTAGTGGTCAGAGTAGTTTGCGTAGTCTGGCGTCATGAAGCCGTACGCACTCACCTTCAGAAAGAACAAAAAGTCACAATTTAACTGCAGGCAGGAACAATAAAAATGCAGGCTTTTAATCGTTTGTCTTGACCTCCATTTCCTGCTGCTGAAGGGTTGAGGAAGGGTTCATGATAAAGCGTGAAATCTTATAGACATAGAATCTTTCACACAAATAGAGAAAGTCAGAGAGCTAGAGAATGTCAACACAAGCTTAAAAATTAACAAGAAACCCATTGCTGTGCAGTCACTTCATAGCTCAAAACAAACATTTACACAATGTATGCAAACACATATGCCTCTCTCACGTCACAGCATCAGACTATATTCCTACCATTGAAGGCAATTCGAATAATAAATTATTTCCTTTTGCCAAATGCAAGAGTAAAGTGTTTTTTTTTTTCACCATACTTTTACTTATAGAAGTTGAATTATTTTTCTTTAGTTTGAGGGTGGCTTGAAAAGAAAATAATGTTAGTGCAAGTAAACTTAAGTTTTGGGAAAAACAAAGAAACTCAGCTGAGATTAGATGAAATACTAATAAAATGATGTAACATGGGAAACAGTTTTGTAGTTGAAAACAATGTTCCTGACTCCTACCTGGTCACAGGAGTGCAGTGCAGCCAAAAGCATGGCAGCCCCCGTCGATGGTCGGTAGATACTCTTATATTTGGTGTTCAGAATGTTTGATCGAAGGAATCTGAAACAGGAAATTGCAATCAGTCATGAGTTGCAGAAATTAGTTTCATTTGTTTCCCCAATCAGCTCTGGCTGTCGATATTCACACACTTCAGTGGGATTTAAAGTAATCAGGAGCTTGATTAGGTCTTGCATGTTTTTCATCCATCTCATTTTCACTTAAAGCACCAGGTTTGGAGGGCACTTACCGGTTTCTAAGGTAACGAATAAAATCTGGGTGGTACATCTTCAGCTTTGCTGCAGAGACATCCTTTCCAAAGTACTTTGTTGGGCTGTAAAAAAAACAAACAAAAAAAAAACGAATTGTTCATCTTAAAAAAAAAAAAGCAGACATGACAGCTTTGGGATACGTTGATGGCTGTCCAGTTAAAGCTGGATCATTACACACTGCCGTTTACAGTATTTCTGTGCTGAACCAAAACAAGACAAGTGGTTTGATGCCTTTCAGAGTGCATCTTCATCTCATAAAACATTAAAACATTTCCTCATGCCCACTTTGATGATAACTTTAAGTACGTAAACCTTTATTTTGTATGCTGTGGTGTAAGGTGCAATGATTTAGAGCAGAGGTCTTCAACAGGGGGTCCGCGACCCCTAGGGGGTCCGCGGAGGTACTGCATGGGGGTCGCGAAAGTCTTGGTTCATTACTTTTTTTTATATTCCCTCCTGCAATTTTTTGCACTAATTAAAATGTCTTTAAATACACATTAACATGAATTCAACACACTGTAGTAAACAGATAAATGAAAGCAGAAGATGTCTTTGAGTCATCAATGCACACATTCAGCAACCCACAGGAGCCCTTTCAAACCTGGGCACCGTTTCATCCACAACACCTGTCCCATCAACCAGGAATCAGATTCCGAAATACTTTAATAATCCCAGGGAGAAATTACTTTCGTTACATGACTCCATATGTAATAGAGTGACTATAGGACCAGTTTGATATAACACAATTTCATACAATATATATATAATTAGGGGGTCCCCGCTCCATCTCGCAATCAGTTTGGGGGTCCTTGGCTTTGAAAACGTTGAAGACCCCTGATTTAGAGCTTCACAAAAAGAGCTCTGCATGACCGACCCTCAGCACCATGGACAGAACCACAGCAAGATTTAAAATGATCGCTGCACCCAGGTATAAAAATTCAACTCAACCATAAAAGAAAATAACGTTATCCAAAAGCAAGGAGGAAAAATCTTTTTTTCAGCATGTTGGAGATTGTCTGACATGAATTTACTCATCAGAAAACTATCTCAGCCCTCACATTAACCGCAAATAACGTGTCCCTTAAGGAGTTTAAACTTTGCTCTATATCCACACACATTACTGGTAGCTCTATATGAACACAAAACTGATTTCGGTGCCTTTTTTCCTGACAATCATTAAATGTGCTTCTATGACTCACTTCAGCTGAAGGTGACAGGAGGTTCAGTTCAACTGATAAAAACCAAGAGTCAAATAAAAACGGGAAAACAGGCTTCAGGAAGCCATGTCAGCCTTTTCAAATCCATACTGCAGCCAGAACACTGCAAGACCTTTATAATTCAGAGTTTCACCTTATAACCATAAAAAAATAGCTGGTCTTCTGTAGGGTCAGCAATTGTGTACAGAAAAACCATGTACTTGCAAACTGAGAAATTCATCTCTTATACAAACTGAAAGTGATTGTCATTGGGGGAAGCTCCTTTCATTCTGTGGAAGGCTGCTAAGAAATTTGAAGCTTTAACCATTTTAAAGAAAACCCTTGTTTATTACTACAGTTTTGCATTTATTAACAAAAAAAATCTTAGGTTCTACAACAACCCAAATCTGGGGTTAAACAATCAAGCAAATGAGAAGCAAGGAGGATAATGTGAGAGAGAGAGTCTGACAAATCTACTGAGAATCATCGTTACCATAGGGGACGCTTATTTCTCCAGTTTCATCATGTTGGCTTTAGCTAATTTTTAACAAACAGTAAAATCGACACAATGGTTGTACATTTTAGGACTTCAGATTTACTTAACTTTATAACACTGTAAAATATCAGATCCATTTAAATGTGATCTAGTGGAACTAAAAGGGAATAAATTTTTAAGCGCATTTAATCATGAAGGCGTCACGTCAGCTACAAATCAAAGTTTAACAGACGTGTTGTTATTATTATTATCACAGTGGGGATAAAACAACCAGGGCATAAGCTCAAATTATTCCTCTATTAAACCATATTATACAAGTCAATAAAGATAAAACAACAGTTTTTATCTTTATTGACTGTCAAGTTTTAAATCTGGCATTCTGCAAACAGACCAGTCATTAACTGAAACTAAGAACAGGTTTAAATACAAAGCAACAAATTGGTTCTTTTTTTAAGCCAATGAGATCCCTGCCAACCTTAAAATCAATGAAGCAGCTCAAACCCAACATTCAGATCAGTTAGGCTTCATCTGGGAAACGTTACTCACTCGTTGCCTTTGTCATGTCCCTTCTCCACCAGTATGTGCGTGGCCGCTGCCTTCATCAGCAGGTAGTCCCGGTCATGATCAGGCAGGAAAACATAACGCGTTTCCTGTGATAGAGCAGCAGGGCGTTAAGTGAGCACAAGACTAAGAGGAGAGACGCTTCAAATGGGTCCTCACCTGGGACACAGGGGGTCCATAGTAGCCGGCACCAGCATAGCTCCTCATGGAGTTCATTAGTGTGTTTGTGGAGAAGGTGTAGTGGGTGGTCCGGGACCCCACATCCTCCTCGAAGCCTTTAATGACCGCTCCGTTTGTTCTGGAGAACCACAGAAGTCCAAAAATAAGCAGAGGCAGGAAAAAGAAAATATCAGTATGTCGCAATAAAAGGCAGATTTATTTGGAACGGGGTTTGGAGCTTTCTTAGAACATCACAGGCAGCTGGGGGAACTTCAAACTTTAAGTCCACCCAAAATATTAACAGATCTCCATGCTTAGTCATGTCACATCTTTCACACCAGAATTACATTCTTTGATCAGTTATCACCTATTATTTATGACTCACTTTAATTTTTTTTTTTATTCCTTAAGCAACAACCAACTTTGATTAAAGAAAAAACGAGTCAAACCGTCTCAGCTGGGTTTATAAGCCCAGGGGTTACCTGAAGACATAATGATGGCCGTCGATCTCCTTCCCTTTCTTCGAATCCTTTAATATCCCACCGTTTCCCACCACAGCACAGCGGCTGCACTCTGAGGTATTTTTCCGGGTTTCCCAGTCATCCAGCATCCTCCAGTTTGCAGACGAGTTTAGCACAGACAGAGTGTCCTTCAGAGCTGAAGAGAAAAAAAAGCAGAATTTATCTGAAATGATTTAGGAAAAAAAATAATTCAGATATTTATGGCTTAATCTAAAAAAAAATAAATAAAAAAAATTGTTTCTTAATTTATAAAATTATTTGGTTTCATGTTTTATTCCAGCAGAATAACTAGACTGACCTCTGCTCTGACTAGATATGAGAGAGTTAATTTTAAAAATAAGTGAATATTTTTACCCACGTTTTAGCCATTTTGTTTTGTTATCCGCACTGTTTTATTTATTTATCTATTTTTTGTAAAGCATTTTGTACACTGGTTGTTTTTAAGTGCTTAATAAAATTGGATTGGATTAATTTGATGAGATTAACTTAATTCTGATACACAACTGTTTTGTTTGGAGTGAAAGTTTGCCGCAGATGTTGTAAAATGTTTTAATCAAGGTATCACACTGTGGAAACTGAAGGAAATATTTGAAAGTAAGGATAATCTTTATGGTTTAGAGCCCTGCAGATGTAATCCCACGGCTCAAACTTATGTTTTGATCAAATGCATTTTAGCAGGACGTAATGGATAAACACCAGGAATTACATGATTGTGAAGTTGTTTTGTTAATCAGCTTCAAAAGACATGTCTTTTGAATTTTCTGCTTTACTCTGATTCCCTTAAATGAAAATTCAAAATGTCAACTGATCATTAAAAGCTACCTGCATCCATTAGATAAAAATGTTTTAGAGGCTGGAATAGACTTGACTATGGCAGAGGTTTACCTTTTTGCAGGACAGCAAGGTAACGTCAAACACTGAACTCCACTGATCCCGTCGGAAAATGCAAAGATTGGGTTTGAATATTAGAGGTTGTTTGTTTAACTAACAGCTTTGATAGCATTGGTTTGCATTGATTTCCATAAATGGCACCCATTTGTGTTTTTATTATTCAGCTGCAAGGTGTCATGTGTGCTGCCCTCCTCCCTTATTTCAAGCTCTTGCTTTGATCAGTAGTGAAACAGCTGGTGTGTTCTCAGTGAAAGCATGACTGCAGGTAAATGTTAGTTGATATTAAATAAGTTGTACACAAGATTTTACTTTAAAATGAAATCTTTCATTTCTTTAAAGTGGCTAAAAGATGAGAAAAAAAGCATTTCACTAAAGATAATCAAGCTTTATTATTTAATTTAGAAGAACTTTTATGTGAAGTTCTGATCAACCTCAGAAACTGATTTAATCTTAAATCTTTCTCAAACGGTAAGTTTCCAAAAAGATATGATTAATATATTCATGAGAGATTTCAAAAATTTGATTAATGCTGATGATATACAAATATTATCCTCCTTTCTTGAATATGCTTGTTGCTGTGAAACAAAGCAGTCTTTGTCTGCAGCATCCATTAAATATTGCCATGGAGAAAAAGACTGTGACTTTTAGGGATTAAGCATAATATAAAGCCTCAACCTCGACATTTCTGGAATCATCTATCTTTATGTTATTCTTTTATCAGTATTTAGATTTCAGCTATTAGGAACTATATACAGAAAATAGTATTTATGTTTTACTTCTAGTAAAACTGGATCTTTCTTTAGTTTATCATTTTACAAATTAGACATACCGGTACTCAGAATTAAACTGTAAACAAATGAAGCAGCTGATTTAATTGCCATTAGGCTACTTATTTCTTTTTAATACTGCACCCTAAACAACTCAGAGCTGAATTAGTGGGTGAATTGGTAGTGAAAATATGGCACCAGTAGATTCTTTATATTCCCCTAGTTTATTGAGCAACACTCAGTTTGTCTGCATGTAGAAATAGACTTGCAGCCACGTGATGATTTAAAGGACCTTTAATGTGTACATCAAGAATAAATGGTTTGATTTTGACTAATTAAGGGGCATATTTTATTTATACATTGATGGATATCCAGCTAAAAGCTCCCAGGCAGGATTTCTCCCATTTACCATCACAACCAAGCTTTAAGCTCAGGTACCGTTCATCTACTTTCTGTTCCTCATTATGACCGCAGTGATGCTCAGTAGAGCAAACCACTTCACGTCAGGCTGCTTTAATAGACAATTGGCTGTAACTTTTATTTCTGGTCTGGATATTGATGTTTAACCGACATCTTTGGTCTGTGTTGCTCTAGTTCTTTCTGTTCCTCGTGAAGTCGCACTGGCTTCTCCAACTCTGCGGATGTCAACGCAGCTGCTCTGAAATCAGAGCTCCCAGCTGCTGTGTTATTTTTTTTATTTATTCCAGGGATGGTGGCCTGTCTATTACAGGAGAAAAAAAATAAACAGCTGTTCTGCCCCTTAAACATCAGACAAACTGCCAGTCCGTCTCTGTGTGATCGTAGTTCCACAGTTGCACTGCAGCGTATGGGGAAAAAAAAAACATTTTTCCTGTCTTGCTTTTTGTTTATTAATTTTCAGGTTAATGTGGAGAGGCTGAAGATTACATGAAATACAGCAAAACTAAGTTTTTGATATAAAAATTGGGCTTAATGTATCTAACAAACATTTCCTTCACTTTTTAACTTTGGAGATCAGAAAGGAGATGAAGCAGAGCCATGGAAGCAAACTGCATCACTGGATGTTTTATTCAATGGCAAGGCTTGGTCCATTCTATTATGGAAAGGGGGGCACAGACGTTGATTGTTTCACGAGTCCCAATTTGTTATTGTTTTGATGCCAAGTCCTTATTTTAAACATGCATCAATATCCTAAGAGTGCTGTTAGAGGAGTCAACAACCAGCAGGCCGCTCCCTCACAGGTGGGGTCACTTGCTGGTTCAGGGCCCCTAGAGGTTGCCTCCTTTGCCTGTATAATAAATCCTCTCCCGATTGTTAAATTGGAGGACTTTCCCAAATTCAGAATAATAACATTCAGGAATCTGTTGTGGGCTTCCTTGGCAGATTTTCTTTATACAGTTTATAATTATATCAGAATATCATCTCAACTGAAAATATATTGCAATACGTTTTCTGTCCACTCTTGCCTACACTACAAGAATATAAATCAAATATAAAATCCAATTAACTCCCTTTACATGGTCTCAATGGTTAAAAACATTTGTTCCGGTTTTTTTTGATGCAATACAAATTTTGTTTGAAGAGAGATGAAACTTCTTTCCAAGGATCCACATCTGATCTAAAGCAATCAGTGGCAATGTTCTAAGCATAGAAGAGCGTTCTAAAGAAAGTCTTAGTGGTGAACATCTGTCAAGCTCAATATCCTCTGAAGATTTTAAGGACATTAAAGCATCCCCTGATCCCAACCCTCAAGTCAGAACTTGTCAAGCAGGTGATTTGACCTTTCACTGATAACTCAATGTTCGAAATTTCATGTGTAACAAAAGAAACTAAATGTATGGCATCTTCTCAACCCTTTGAAGCCGATTTTAGACATTTTAAAATGAACTTTGAGTCAAACCTGTTCTGCTCTGACGAACTATGCCTTCAAAAATGTTTCTGTCTGGAGAGCTGGTTCACCCTGTTGTAAACTATCAACCACAAGAAAACTTTAAAAATTTGCCACGGGTCAAAAAACAGCAAGATTATGAGGAAAAATTGGAGCTCACTGTCGTAGTCAATGCCTCCCCAACCGTGTGTTCCTGGATACTGTTTCAGACGCTGGTGCTGTTCCTGAGTCGCGTGCTGGGCCCATTGCAGGACGGGAATATGCTCCAGGAACAGCCCTCCGAACTCTGACTTCTTTATTCGACTTCGGATTCCATCTGGGCAGTCCTGTGAGGAGCAGAGAACAGCTGTGTAGCAACAATATGTGCAAAAACTCTACAACTGGAGTCACTGCGTTTTTCATCAGTCAGCAGTTCAAACATCCCCAGTAGAAACCTGAACACGGCAGGATATTCCCATGTGCATTGCTGCTGCTAATTATATGGCTCTGACAATAACGTAACCAGGAGAGAGAGAAAGGTACACAGGTTAGAAAGGAGCCTCTGTCACTCAGATCAGATAACATCTATCCCACCCCCAATCAGCTACAACTGCTGTTTAAGAGGAACAAAAGTAGTTCCGACAAGAACTGACTTAAAAATGAAATTTACAAAAAGAGCCAATATTATTGCTTTTCTGGTTTATTTAGTATAAAGGTTCAAAATGGCTGAATTCCCTTTGAAATAAAACAAATCTGCTCTCAGTGGGTTTAAAGATGTCAGCAATAGACAATCTGATTTGATCGTTTCATGCATTGAGCTTTGCATATAATTTATGAACACAGTTCCTAAGACTGAAGATTAAAGTTTGTTTTATTTGCAAGAAGCTCCCATCAACTAAAACCTTTGTGGGGAGAAAACTAAAATTTAAAAAGAAAAAAGCACAAGGAGGTTGAACTTCACACTTTGCTTCCTGAGGAAGGAAACAGGAAAATGCTGTAATGAAAGTGGGTCTTTGGAGAATTTAGTCACATTAAAAAGTGTGAAAAGGAAGAAGTCAAAACTAAATAAACATTAATGAGTTCATGTTGGGTTTGTTTCAGAGATTATCTAGGCATGTCTCTCTCAGCTGGTCGTTAATATACAGATCCAGACACCTACCTTTAATTAAATCTTATAGAAACAAGATTTTTTGCACCATTTAGGTTCTCTTTTTTTGTCTAATTTTACTACCCATCTAAAATATTTTATTTCCCGATTTGTTAAAGCCTGGAACATGTACAGAGTACATGTTAAATGCGTATGGTGGACATTTTAGGATGTCTTTAGCCCTCAGGAACAAACCCATCGCTTCTCAGACTTTCCCAAACACCCAATAACATTTCCTCTGATCTGAGGACGTCTTAAACTGTAAGTCTTAGGCATGACTGTAATAAATATTAAAAGTTTGGTTAATGTTTATACAGATTCCTAACTTTCTTGATAACAAGACAATGACCGTAGCTTTGATGATGCATTTCCAAGGTGCACAAAGAACAGAGAGGACTTAATCTTTAACAAACAGCCTGAAGCACAAACCAGTTGAACAAAGTACTTGTAGCCACACCATGACCACACACAGCAGGACATAAAGAAGAAGATAAAGATCCTGACAAGACAGAACATGTGACATTTACAAGCTACAAAGTTCTCAACCTAAAGATTGCTCTCCAAGCAGTTTTTCCATCACTGTAAACATACGCAGTTTGTCAATAGTTAAAATTGATTCTCCCAAAACACTTTTCTTCTAGTTTAAACCAGTTCAAACTTACAAAGAGACTGTGAATGAGAGCTTGAGACCAGACTATACGTCACTGGAGGACATCTTCCATTATTATTAAATCAGTAAACTACTAAATTCTGTTAATTTCAACACGTCTGTAACTCCACTGCCCAATATATCCAAGAGTTCCTGGTTATCTACACATTTTATATCGAGAAACGATCAAGGGAGGAAGTTTATAAACCCTCAAAGGGAGGAACTGTTTTCTTAGAATTTTTGCACAAAATGATGCAGAAAATGTATTTTAAAACAAGATACAAATTTCCCTTGAGTGAGAAGCTGATTATTAACAGTTTTAGTGAGAAGCAGGTCTGTAAAACATTAACTGTTGGTTGACATTTGATGCAGGTGTGAGGAGCCAAGGAAAGGAGGGGGAGGGAGACCAGCCTGTGACTTTGAACATTGACATATCCTCCCTCTTTATTTAAATACCTTTGCAAATAAAGGATAAAAAGGATATCGTTAAAAGCCAAATCTTTCTGATAAATATTAAATCCTGAGCCAACTCACCGTTTGTGGAGGGATGTTCTCAGACATATAGGAATCTCCAATGTAGGGTGGCTCTGTGGGGCCCCGTGGTTTGATTAGATTCCCAGGCAGAGCCACGGGGCTTTTCTTGGCTTGGTCTTCACCTTTAGACCTTGAACTGGGCTTTAAGGCATCACTGCTTTGGTTTTGAGCTGGTTTTGGTGGTTTGGTGACTGGGTTAATCTTTAAAGCTGCATGCCGTACGGCGATGGTGGGATTTGGCTGGCTGAGGTTGCTCCATTTGGGTGGAGAGGCGTTAGAGGTGCTGTGGAAGATTAAACCACATGTTATTATCTGTGCGTTGGTTCCTAAAGGAACTTGACACACCCTAAAAATACATGTAAATGATCCTCGTTTTCTACAGATGTCAGCTGGTTCTATGGTAAACAGCTGGTTCATTTATGGTGCTTAAACAATTCCAAGAAAACCAAATTGCTTTACACCATGTTTTGCTACTGTATAAATGGACAAGTAAGTAAGTAAGTAAACTTTATTTCTATGGCACTTTTCACAGACCAGGATCACAAAGTGCTGCACAGATTTATAAAAAGGTTTCTAGAAATTAAAACATACAAAAACAGTAAACACAGAATTAAACTAAAAAAACAAGTTTAAAAAAGTGGGTCTTTAGTTGTTTCTTAAAAGTGTCTATACAAACAAGAGAAAGAATGGTAAAAGGTAGCTCATTCCAGAGGCGAGGCGCCAAAGCTTTAAAAGATCTGTCTCTGTCTGACAAAGGTGTCGATTTTTTCCTTTTTTGTTCACATGTCACTGAGTGGCTTCATATTGCCTCTAAACCCCTCAGTCTATCAGAACCATTGAAGTCCTGTTTGTAGTTTGAAACGGGCCATGCAGAAGATGCCAAACATTGGAGGGATATTCAAAGATCCATACTAAAATGAATCTGTGAACTCGCACGTCTAAAGGAGCAGTTTCACGTTAGCAGACCAACCACAATCATGAGCATGGGCGTAGCTTTGCATAGGGACATGTCCCTACAAAAATTTTGGACCGACCTATAAGTCCCTACCAATAATTTGATGGGAACATGTTTATCAACATGTAGATCTGCTATTTTTGTTTTCCACATAGGTAAAAATAGTGCCATTTAATTTACTTCTACTTCTAGAAATAAGATAAACACAAACAGAGGAACTCTATTTCTATTTTTCTAGATTTCCACACAGTGCATAAGTAAATCAGTACAAACATTAATGTCTGCTAAAAATGCTTGAATCTTCCCGTTTATTTTGGATACTTTTACATTACAGATAAGATAGTGTTATATTGTCTTTTATAATTGTTAAGTGATTTTATATTTAAATAAAGTTAGGCTCATTCTTAGTGTTATGCTTTAAAATAGACATAAGGAGCTATTAAAACAGTCAGACAGTAAGCAATATAGGATGATAAAAAGGTTGTGTTACATTTAATCCTTTACTATTAAAAACATGCTTGTATAATAGAAACATGACTATAGGAAACGCAGATATAATGATGCAGGGCAGCCTCAAGGTGAAGCATCTGGCCCTTCAGTGCTGTATTATGGAAGAAATGCGTTTGGAATGTTGCCATAAAATTAGGGCTGCAACTTATAATTATTTTGCAAATTGATTAATCTGTTGATCTTTTTCAATGAATCAATTAATAATCAAATAGCCAAAGGTTCCTTAAGATTCAATTAATCAATTATACAAGAAAGTGAATGTCAGTGGTGTATAAGGACATTATACAGGAGAGAAAACAAATATAGTAAAAGGCTGGTATTTAAAAAAAAAAATGAGTCAAAAGGGAAAAAAATAAATTTCTTAATTTTTCAAGAACAGACGATTTATTGAAGTTATTTTTGCGCTACAAATTAAATTGGGTCTTCAATGAACAGGAATGTCGTCCGAAAGGCTGATTTTCTGCTGGGTGGGGCATTTTCTAGGATTCAGATCAATCCTTATAGCAAGCAGGTTCAGAGTACGTTACTACGGTGACTAGGTTCACTAAGAATTAACCCAGCTTTGTGGTACTGGAAAGTCAGGATTAAGGCTGAAGTTGCCTCTCAAACCTTGTGATTCTGCTTTGTGGTACAGGCCTCTGGTCACAGATGTGCTGTGAAGTTCATTAAAAGCATGTTGCAGTTCCATTTCATTGATGTCAGGTAGTTTCATGATGGTACATAAGCTGCTGGCAACTACAAAGAACTACTAATAATCGGTCATCTGTCATTTCTTCATTAAAGTTCAAACGTTCACCATGATAACTACAGGACAGCTTCACTGCTGGCATTCTGCCTCTTGGCAGTCAAAGTGAAACAATGAACTCTTCAATTGAAACTATGGCCCCGTCCACACGAAGTCAAAACGAACACGAAACGCTGATATTTTCCAAAAACGTTTGCCGTAAAGACGGAGACGTAAAATAAATGTGAGCGTCCACACGAATGCATGAAAACGCTGCAAAATGTATGCCAGGCCTGTAAGTGGCGCTGTGGTGCCAAAGCAAAAATAAGCGACGAAATGTTGGGCATGCGCACTAATATTTATACATGGTTGCCCTGCGGGTCCATTTTCGTGGTTCAGTCAAATTCAGGTGCTGAACTATGTCGTCGATATTGCTCTGTTCTTCCTGGAGATATTCCAGAATAAGAAGATTCTGTTGTAAGCCCGACAGCAGGGTGAGTAGCATTAGCAGCAACGGCGCCATTGTTGTTGTGATACTGTGTCGCGCATGCGTGTTTAGAGGCGACGCTATGACGCATGCGTGTAAAAAAAAAAATATGCGGTTAGAGCGTAAAGATGGAAACGCGAAAACGGCGTTTCGAAATCTTCCCACTCTGAAGGCTGAATAAAAAAAAGATCGTTTACAGACCCCCGAAACGCCGGCTTCGTGTGGATGAGAGGCTGGTTTGGTGAAAAATTTGTGCGTTTAGGCCAGGGTTCGTCTTCGTGTGGACTGGGCCTATGAGATGCAAATAATCCTAAACTGCTTCTGACTTCCTGACTCCTTTGCATGGACATGGTGGAAGAGTGGCAGCAACTTTGGATCAGTTTACATATCTTTGCATAAAGGTTAATCAATCCTAGTCTAACCTGCACTCTTCTACTGTGAAGAATAGAGTCATGCCTTGAGTTCTTTCAAAGAGGATGCAATATACATTAAAGCTAGATTAAGGGCTTAGCTGTAATAACACTGCAGAGGACCAGAAAACAAGCTCACTTCACTTTTAAGAGTCTTACCGTGGCTCCCTGTTTTAGTTCATTCTAGTGTGATTTGTAGGACATTAACAGTCTCAGTACAACTGATTTAGCAGATATGATTATGCTACAGAACCTCCAGGAACAGGTCTTGAATGATGGGTCCATATACACATATATCAGCTGTCAACAGGTCAAGATGAGGTCTAAAAACATTGCTCTAACAGGTAGGACTTTATCGTCTAATGGGTTCCTTGATATTCAATGTGTAATGGAAGACAGAATCAAACCAAGTGGCCGTTTGCAGCTGCTTCTGATGTTATCGTCCCATTAAATGGTTGTTATTAGAGGCCATCAGTCCCATAGGGTGGCTTCAGATTGTACCCGCTACCTCCCACTAGGCTCACAGTAAGGTGGTATTACTGAATGAATGCTAATCCTAAGCCTCAAGTAGTTCCCTTTTCCCCATTGAATTGATCAATTTGTGTAATCTGAAAATTCCAGTAGTTCATGTATCGTTTGTAAAATTCTGTGTGTTTTTTTGTTTTTTTTTTAAACGAAAAAGAAATCTCAGTCAACTGAGTTGTTTTTTTTTTTTGTTTTTTTTTTTATCACATTGATTCCGTGTGACTGAAGAGTATACTTCATTCAAAGTAAAGCTTTAAACCGTAGTTTGATTTTTTAATAGGTAAATTGTGAATAAAGTAGATAAAAACGATAAATTAAGTAAATAAAGCCGTTTTAGAGGCAGCCGTTATCAATGATAAACTGCACAGCCTGAAGCCAGTCTATGGGACTGTTGCCGTTTGACCATGCAGTTTATTTTCTTTAATGCCATTTTTACACACACACACCAATGTTCTCGTACTGATAAAGTTCTGTTAAATAAGTCTGTAAGGTTGCAAATGTGAGGATGGATAAGGTTGATGTATGTGATGGACTGCGAGGTGAAAGAGCAGTGCTCATAAATATAATTTTTAATTTTCTGAATATGAGGTAATCATTAATTCTTTGTGAATTAATGCCAATCATTCTTTATCAAGATCCTCGTCAAAAGGACATGCAATATATATATTTTTAAACCTAATGTGTCAAATGGTGCGTTCACACAGCTGATGGTAAAGCCAGTTTATTCTACAGAAATTGCTACAGCGTTGAACTATGAATTCAGCAAAAACAGAATATCTAAGTTTTCTCAAATTAACCTGTTAACATTTCGGTAAACGTAGGGTCCAGCTGTAGCAGAGACTATAAAACTTTTTTTTTTTTCCTTGGTAAAAGAACAGAATGCTCCTTAGGCACAATCCTCTACCATTTTTGATGAAACCTTGAAAACATGCCAGAGCTCCAGTTCCCCTCAGCTGTTCTTAATGCATCTGTTCAGGACCCGCCTGCTTTTAGAGCCCATCAGAACAAAGCTTACATTTCATGTCCCTGTGCGGGAAACGACCTGCTGTCCTCTAACTCCAGGGGATTTTTTTTTCATTAGTGTAGCAGAGTGCTGTATGGTTCCTTTGTTGGAGCCACAATGATCCAACATGGGGTGGGGGGTCCACGCTAAAAGCTAGTTATAGAAACCCTTCATGATGCAGGTGATCTCAGAGTTTGTCCCTTCCACTCTGAGCAAAACAAAACTCAACGACAGCTTAATTTTTCCATAAGGGCCAAAGAGGAAAACACTTAATTCAGCATCTTTAACATTTTGATCCCATTTCCTTCTTGCAAAATCCAAAAACCTGAACGGAAAAAGGTCAACTCAACCAGCACTAACTTTTGAACTTTAACTAGTTTTGTTTTTTAAAACACATTTGTTGATTATGCATCAATTTACAAATAATTGAATGACACCTCCATCATGGCCTGAGGGGTCTGTATCGCTTTCCCTGGCACCAAGAAACTTTGAGGGTGGCGGCATCAACCTTGCCCCATAAACATAAAAAAAAAAAGCAGACTGCTTTACGGCATACGCCCCCCGCTTCCGTTATAAAGACGGAAGTCAATGCAACAAAGTTTCCCTGAGAGACTGTATATTGCTGCAAATTTTGCAGGGTTGATGGCAACGCAGGCAATGTACCACCTTCCTGCTGGGATCTATACGTGTGCTTACTGTGAAGTTATTAAACATATTTGTTTCAAGACTCTAAACTTGTCAGGACATTGGTTGCTGTACAAACTAAACGTTTATTTTCAATATCATCATATGACATTGTTTTGCCACAGTTAGATTCATTACCTCATCGCCGTTCATCTTTCAAACAGCCACTGGAAAGAAATCTAGTTCTATCCAACCACAAACGACAGGGTCATCAGGACTATACCATGCTATAGTCTTTACCACGCTAGTCCTCATGGGAAATGAAGTCTTCCTTCAGGTAAAACTATACAGCCTGTATCCACTGGGGGAGCCAAACTCCAAACTGACCAAACAGAGAGTCCTTTAGTAGCGCTTTAAGAAGTGGCAGTTTATGTCCAAATATGAAACTGAACATAAGAAGTCCAGGCCACTTTAGAACACAATGCATTTTCAGACAAACCAGAGGTGATAGTAATGATTAAATGACTGAGGCAAGAAACATTAAATTATGAGAGGAAGAAACATGGCTGATACCTCTCTAGAAATTGTATCCATCAGCAGCACGATAAAAAAAAAAAAATGTATGCATTCATTCAGGCAGAGATCTTCCAAGGACTGACATTGAGAAAACGGCAAAATAAAAAAGATGAATGCAGTTATGTAGAAGGCCTGTCTCTGATTGACAGATTAATCTCTGATTAAGGCAAGCTGATGTCTGCCATTTCTGAACAGCAACTTGATAACACAGCCACTCCACAGCAGTTCAAAGGTCCAGGCAATACAACTAATTTTGGCTTTTATATCCCGTCATGACCAACCTAGCTTCCTATGTAATATGTTCAACAAACTGCCCATTAATCCCCTTAATCAAGTGCTGCAAAAGCCTGCTAATCATTCATTCTTTCCTAGTGTGATGCAGCAAGGAAGTGGGAAGTTAGGAATGACTGTACAAAACCAAATAATGATCTCTATGTATTCACTGGATTGGTGATAGCCCGTTGGTAGTAGGGGGTGGAGTGAAGCCACCGTCCGCCATATTGGTACTCCCTAGTTAGACCTCTCGCAATGTAAACAATATGTGTGCAACAGCATCGAACAACAACGATGTTCTCATTTTCAGGGGGACTTAAGACTTTTAAAAGAAAGATAAATTCATCACTTTGACAGACACTTGGTGTTTCATAGCATAAGTAGATTCCTTAACTTATAATAAAAAAAATTTAAAAAAGCCACATCACATTGCATAGTCATTATGAAGTCTATAAATTATGTAACATTATACAAATCCATTACAGCAAAATTAATATGTTAATGGAGCACAATAATATAGATATGCCAAAAGTGCTAAATTGATGTTGTACATGTAATATACATGTAATGATGACATTGTCGATTTTGTAATGTTTGTATTTCTCATAGCAGTGTCTTCCACTTAATATAGAATTACCACACGGACATTTCACAGTGAATTACTTTCCATTTTCTAACGTTAGACACAATGTCGGTGGCTAATTCAGTCAATCGAGTCAGTCCGAGATTGCAAGACTAATGTTACGCTACATACTATATTGGTGTAAATAAGGTTTCCTTGGTTAGTACATCCACTGACTGAAGTTACCTGTGAAACGTCTTCCCACAGCCAGCAAACTGCTTGTTTTTGCAGCCAAATGCTACACACGTAGGCCTTTTTATGGCGCGTCTCTGCGGGCGTGGGGAGAACCAATATTGCGGCCAGCAAGTTCACTTTTCAGGCTTTCAGCAATCCAGCGAATAAATAGAGATGAGTGAAACCAAACAGTCAGCAGAATAACTTGTGAGGATCAGCTAAATGTCCTCACATTACAATAAAATTTCCTGATCATTTCAGACAAGAGTTCCAGACAATTAGTGGCTTTGAACTCAAGAGTCCATTGGCTGAGCCACCCTCATGCACTTCCAAAAGACAAAATACTTTACCCCTGTATCATTTTGAGTCTTCCCCTCACCCCTTCATTTATTTCCATCATATCTGCTGGGTTCAGATTTTGTGACTGAACAGGCATTACGTTGTGTGATCAGTGAGCACTCACCTGATTCCCCCATGTTCCCCAAAACCGTTGGGTCTACCACGGGGATAAGGGAAGGGAATCTGCATTGTGTTAGACAGCATGTAGACTAACAGGAGGCAGACGGCGGCCCCCACAGCCACCAGCAGTTGCCTCTTCAGGGCCATGCCTTTTAGGATGCAGTCTCTGGGCAACAGGCTGCGAGTGCTGGCCGGGCCCTGCATGTAGCCTGCAGGAGCATAGGGAGGGTTTTTCCTGGTCAGGCCAGCAGATGTAAAGTGATGGTGAGGATCTCCTTCCACAATATGACCTCGACTTCTCCAATGACGACCACAGAGACAGAGATAAATAACAGAGTTAAAGGGGAAAAGACTCGGCAGTGGGGAAACTTTCTCTCAGCAGCAACAGAACATCAAAGAATCAATTTTAAAGAAACATTTGCTCATGGAAAGGTGAGCAGATTGAACTCTTAACTAAACTGTAGCTCTTCTGATTAATAATAAAAGAGCTCCACTCTAGCTGTCGTCAGCTGCTGTGTCGAGGCAACAGCAGGAAACCAGAAATGTTATCTTTGAGAGACACTCGTGTGCTGCTAAGTGGGTTTGGAGGTGTCAAAAGGAGAGCTGGAGGGATCTACCAGAAAGTCCTTGATAAATGCCTCACCAGAAGAATGGAGGGGGGAGTGGAAGGAATGTGTTAGGAGGGATTTGGTGATAATCAGAACAGCAAACTCAGCTTCCTTGAGAACAAAACAAAAGAAGACGGAGACAAAATGCTCAAGAAATCAAAATAAAACTTTACTAGCACTGTTGGAGTGAGAAAAAAACAAAAAAACTCCCCCCCAAAAAAACAGCAGAGTTAAAGTACCAAACTATGACAAAGCCTGACTCAGGCTGAGCACTGTGGAACAGGAAGCTCTGTCGCCTCGTTTCTGAAACAAAGAAATCTTTTCACATCGAAACACAGGAAGAAAACAAACATTTTCTCACCAGCAGCAGATCGCCTTTTCTCTTACAGTGGAGACGTCTTCTTCTAACGGAGAGCTAAGAACCTCAGTACCAGCCTCTGCTCTGGATGGGCGGGCCTATTGTCAAATGAGCAACAGCTGCTGGCAATTGGTCAAACATGAGGGAAGGGGGGGAGGGAGCCCATGTCAGGCAGCTCTAAAGTTAGTTAGACATGAACAGGCAGCTCTGGGACTGAATCACAAAGATAACAAGCCAAACACACATTTATGTAAACACATTCAGAAATGAACTGAACTTCTCCACCCAGTCGATTATCCCCAACTCAACTAGTAAACAACCTTAAACAGAGGCAACAACCCTAATTAGGATTCCAGAGTGAACCGATGAGGCGTCCCATGATTTATAGACTGGGCTGGATGTTTGGAGAGACGGGAACCACAAAAAAAAAGGCAAATAAAATAATTGTTTTCCAAAGAGTGAACAGAGACGAGTAAAAAAAAAAGTTATTCAAAACTGTCTTTTTTATTTTCTTTCTGCAGAAGCATGAGTCATCTTTAGTGTCACACTTTTTACCTCCATCTGACATGAAAAAAACCCAAAACAAAACCAGGGTAAAAAAAAAAAAACAAAGAAAAAAAAAGGGAAGTACTATCCTCAGGTTCTCTATTTCCAGACAGAAATGTTTACAGAAGTAGAACATATATTACAAGAAAAAGAAAACATTGGGAAATGATTTTGGACTGTTTAATCAGAACAACCAGAGAAGCGATGGTGAAATCATCACAGTCTGAGGGTCTGAAATAAGAAAAATGTCTGCAAACTGTCTGATCCGTATCACCCATCACAAATACTGAACCTCTATTCTACAACAGAGATATTTTACACAATGCAGCTCTGACAAGTTCTTCTTAAATTATAATATGCTCAACAATCTGGTTAATAAATGGAACAGTCTAAAAGACTCAGAATCAATACATTTTCAGAAAAAAGTAATAAAAAAAAAAAAGCACATCTGTCATGTTTATCAGAATGATTCTGTGGAGCAGCAACATTAAAGAGTTAGTGTATGAGTGCAGCAATAAATAAAGTTAAAATAAGGAATAAATATTCTGGTTTGAAGCCGTTTGGTTTTCCCATCAGGCCATTCTCTCTTATGCTGTCGGACCTAAATAATAGGCATTACTTCCAGCTGTTATAGCAGCGCTGTCGCCCCATGTCTAACCTGTTCCAACTGAGACATAGTACAACGCATACTTCAATCATCAGGAATAAATCAAATTGAATCCTGCTGGGAGGTGCTGACTTGTGAAGCCTCATGATCAATATTTGATATGCACCGACCAACCTGCCCTGCTCTGTTTGAGCTCTGCTTTCCTGATCCGCCACACATTTTCTCTGCCATTCTTTCTTTCCAACATCCCCAGCATTCCTCTTCTTTCACTTCGTCCACATTCGGATACCCTCAGAGCCACTCTGCAATCATCCAACCCCAGACATTCTTTCTGACTTGTTTTTCATCCAAACGTCCCATTGCTCCCTTTACCGACATCCTGCATCCTTTCTAACTTCAATCTGTAAGCAGTGTTTCATTACATCCAAGTGTTGGCAGCAGAAACAGAGCTGAGCTCAGAGGCTGCTAGGTTAAAGTTCTGTAATTAGCAATCCCCTTCAGAGGAAATAGCGATAAAACCACGAGTCAGTGATTAAAGGGTCCATGAAGAAGTTGACTCGCTTCAGGCAGAGAGCTCATAGATAGAGATGAATCTCAGGAGGAAACAGCCACTGCCTGGTCTAACTGCACACCAGGAGGTCTTTTAGGGTCCATCTCTAAGGAACAGTGTAACAATTGAAGGTTTCAGGTCTGTAGCAGATGAGAGAGGGGGGCTCCAAAACAAACTCCCTCTTTTCTGCATGGAAGGGGGCGGGGTAAAAGGAGTTTACTGTGAAATCCAGGACAGTTTGCCTTGTTTTCAAGTGAGGTAGGTCACATTTAATGCCTTCTACAGTTCCACATGTTCAGTCTTGCAGGTAGAAAGTACCTCCAGCAGCTGACTGGGGGTTGGCATGCTAGCAGGCATTTCTGTCAGTCACTTCTCCAACAGCTGCTTCCTTTGCTGCTCCCACAGAGCCTCTAGGTGGTCCGCCCTCTTCAGAGCAGCCTATCAGAGCAAAGGAAAAGTTGGGTTAACCGACAGCCCTACTATGTTACGGTCCGCTGAGAGTGTGCATCTTTAGATGGCCAAAACACAACAAAAAAGGATCGGATAACACGCGTTTATTCAAACAAAAGATAGTAAAGATTATCATCTCATTTTCATGGGATTTTGCTAATCTAGTTTCACCCAATTGTAGTAGGTAAAGTAGGTAAAATGAAGCACTCTGTTCAAGCAGCAACAGGGAGCCGGCCTCTGAGTCCTCTTCTAACAGGGCTCAATCTGAATGTTCAACATTTGGATATAAACAGTGAATCATACTAAGTCTTTGATGTACTGCTAGTGCTTCAGTTTTCTGACCATTCATCCTAGTAATACTTTATTTACAGGTTTTCCTGTTAATGTGTTTCTGTAAAAAGACTTTGATGACTAGCTTTCTTCATTTCCGTTAACACTCCCCATTTCAAATAAACCATAAGGAGTCTGAATACCATTTAGATTTCTTTGTTCCTATGATAAATCATTATAGTGAAAAGGTTTGGCTCCATCTTTACAATTTCACACCACCGTGCCTGCTAAGCAACAGAAGCTACAGTAAGGTGAGGAACAGCTACTGACAGCTACACTGTCCGGTTTCACAGCTGATCACTTCCTACCTTTGTGGTTTTAGTGGGCTTTGAAGGACCCGCTCAGTGGGTCGGTTCTTTTAAACATGCAGCTCCTGAACTTAAACACAGCAATGAGTATAAGGCCGATGCCTTTTTTCCCCTGAGATCTGAGGATGTCCCAAAATGGTTGGTCAATGTGACTCTGACAGTTGCTTGATCTGTGTTTTTTCATGCAAGCAGAGCAGGAAACTAATAACGCCTGACAAGACAGTTTTTAGGACGCAGAGAGAAACCAAAAGAAAATCAGTCTGTGCCTCACCTCATATTGTTTCCGGAGACTATTCACAGTTTCCTCCTTCTTCAAGATGGCTGACTTTACCCTGCCAGACAGCGAAGAAGAATAAAAAATCAGGAACAATTTTTGGGAAATATTCCAACAGCCACTCATCCAGGGAATAAAACCAGATACAATCTATTTATCTTGTTGTTCTGCCTTTTTATTGTTTTTCAAAACAGGCTTGAAAAACCTTTTTGCTGCTCTTGTTTCTACATTATAGACCTTAGAGTTCAAATCTTAATTGAATAAGCTTATAAAATTTAAACCTGTGGCTATAGTTTGTGATCCTTACTGACCTTTGCTCAATAAAAGACAGTTTAACAAAACAGCGTGTGACATTAACAGTTGATAAAACAAGCATTCATGAATTAGGAAAAAGTCACCACATAAAAGTTGTGTTTGTTTAATGACACCCTGGTTCCAGAGATTTTTAAACCAGAGGAAACCTTTGGGTCAAGGCTGAGGAGAAGACAATGTAGAAAGGTAGATAGAGCCAATCTTCTGAAAATATAAAAAAAAAAAATTCCTAAATATTTTTTACCAAAAATGAATGGCAGCCCTGTCCTGTTATCATTTTTCATGACCCTATCTGTAAGTAGTTGTATTTCCAGTATATTCCTTAATGAAGTAAAGTATACTGCCCTCTCCTGGTAGATGTATGCAACCCAGTTTATCTGCTCCTTATTGAAAATAGAACACATTATTGAAAGATATTTGTGAAGTTGGTTTAAAAATATCCTCAAAGCAGAGGTCTGCATGAAAATACATTTTTCTCCAGGTATAAAGAAGTAAACTAGTGGCGGCCGTTTCAACACATTTGCAAACTGCATTAATATTGTGTCCATACTGTGTCACTGAATACTGACACCTGCTGGACGTTTAAAATCACTACAGCCAGCCTCTGACAGACTAAATAAACTGACACTGATTTGATGACCTATAAAACAATTCAATCCATTGTTTGCTATAATGGATTAATTCATATATATCCTTTAAACTGAAAATATGTTTGATATTTTTAAATATAATTGATAAATGTGAACTTATAATGGTAAAATGTAAGTGAACGTGTGAATAAGGATGTTTGTGGACTAGGATTTTTTTTCATCTAAAATAATAACTACAGTAAGAACAGAAAAATAAGAGTCAATTTGAAATAAATTTGAAATCAGATAAGCTGAGTGATAACTGAGAGGGCCAGGATGACAACAAGAAAAAGAAAACAAATATGAGATCAAAATGGTTCCACTCGGACTGAAACCGCTCTTTTGAAGCCCTTAAAGCTGCTCCATATTTCTCGATTAATTTGATGATAAACCTCAAAAGATCAGAGATTTTTTTAGGCAGACGCGTTGTGTTGGTAGATGCCCTTATAAACACAGTACACTGCATAAGTCAGTCCTAAACGGCTCCTGCATCTGTCACAATCCTCTTTCCTGTAACGCTACTCGCACCGACACAGGGTTTTGCCGTTAGAGAACGAAACAAGCGCTGGCGCATGGATGTTGCTGCACCCATCACTACTGTTACGTTGTGTTGATGCTTCTTTGCTGGTTGAAGCTGCTTGCCTTCCCGTAGCAAAGTAAAATTAAAGAAGCAATCTCTTGTATGTCACTTTTACATTTCCTAGGTGTAAATGAAAACCAGTCGTAACCAAAATAACTTGCTCATTTCTTTGTTCCACAGTGAAGAGCATTGTGTGAATTCACTAAATTCTCTCACAGCTGTCTCTTTTCCTAACATAAAGTAAGAGAAAAATACACACATTTTACCAATTTCAAATATATGTCTCAATTTGATATTGGTCCTCCTTTGGAAGCATGACTTCAGTTATGTGTTAGTGAGAAATCCACATGGTTTCTTCTGTCTCCCTGCTTACTGTCTCAGTTCTTAGATTCCCAGCTTAGGGTGGCGCGGAAGTTAAAACTCGTGACCTTGGTAAAGCTTTTGCATGTTTACATCCTGCCCAACCAACCTTTGCCTCATATCTTTCCCCTCTCTCACTCGTCCCAATTTTCTCATCAGTTTATTCTCAAATAAAGGTTACTAGAGCCAAAAAGTCTTAGATTAATCTTATGTTTATCTCTTTAAGTCTCGTTCAGAATATAATAATTGAACTAAGAGGCAAACT